TGAATTTCCCAGATGTTGCCAGATGGCCTCCACAGGCTGGTGCCAGCTTACACTCCTCTCAGCAATGCACAAGAACAAAACAGGTCTCTACGCGTGTTCATTTTTGCCTGTCTGTTAATTTAACAACAAAAGAAGGATCTAATTGGCATTTCTCTGACCAGAGGCCAAGGTTGAACATCTTTTCCAGTGTTTAACAGCCATTCATCTGTCTATCCCTTTGCCCATCTTTCTTTCTTTGTTTTAATCATCTTAGAAAGGTGGCCTTTGCATATATCAGCAAGACTAGTTCTTTGTCTAGTCTCACTGATCTGATGGAGACTGGTGGGCCCTCCGAGACCGTGGCCCTTAGACATCGTTCAAGACTGGAACTGAACTCACCCGCATGGTTCAACTTTCAGCCCCAGGACAGACAGGCCTATAAGGTGAACAGTAACGCCAGGGAAGTACGCGTTTCTTAGAACAATCAGCCCTACAAGATCAGAAAGGCAGCATTTGCCCAGGGAGGAAGCCCAGGAGCAGGAAGGGTGAGGAGAAAAGGAAAAAGCAAACATGGAAATGGGAACAGGGAGGGAGGAGTGGGCAGAGCTGCTACGTGTGGGCACCGCAGTCACTGTCCCAACTCAAACTGTGTCTGAATTGTTGAGTGGAAAACTTACTCTACACTTTCCCAAATCACAGGAAGAAGTTTACAATAAACAGAGGCTCGTTCTTCGTGATTTCAGTTGCTACTATTCACTGGTTTGCCTTTTGTTTTCACACTTTGTATAAAGTGGTTTTTTTTTTTTTTCCTTGAAGAAGACATTTTATATATTTGACTTTATCAGTCTTTTATTACTGTTTGTGGATTTTGAGGTATGGCTAGAAAGGTCTTCTCCACTCCAAAGTTATAAAGGAATTTCCCCTTTATTTTCTGGCACTTTTGTGTTTTTTCCTTTTTACGTTTCAACTTTGATCCTTTTGGAGTTTACCCTGATTGATAGTGTGAATTAAGGAGCTCTGGTGGGTAAGGCATTTGGCTCCTGAACAAAAGGGCAGTGGTTCGAACCCATCAGCTGCTCCGTGGAAGAGAGACGAGGCAGTCTACTTCTGTAAAGATTTACAGCCTTGGAAACCCAGTGGGGGTCACCATGAGTTGGGATGGACTCAATAGCAGTGGGTTTGGGCTTGGTTATGATGTCAGTTGTAGAGCTGGCGAAGTGTTGACTATACACGTACTGCCAGAGGAACAAACAAATGTGGTCCGGATGAAGTACAGCCAGCACGCCCCTTAGAGGCAAGGATGGCGAGGGAGACTTGGCCGCTCGTACTTTGGTCAGTTGTCAGGAGGGACCAGTGCCGGGAGAAGGACTTCATGGTTGGTAGAGTGGAGGGTCAGTGAAGAAGAGGAGGACCCTCAAGGCCGTGGGTTGACTCGTGGCTGCAACACTGGGCTCACGCGTGGTCAGCACTGTGACGATGGTGCAGCGTTGTGTTCAATGCGCGTAAGGCCGCTGGGAGTTGGACCCGACCTGATGACGCCTGACAACAGCGGCAACAGGCTCGCTGTTGTTGTTGTTGTTATGTGCCGTCGAGTCGGACCCGACTCACAGCGACCCCTCCTTGGGTTTCCGAGGCAGTATCGCTACGGAAGTAGATTGCCCCATCTTCCTTCCGAGGAGTAGCTGGTGGGTTTGAACCGCCAGCCTTCTGGTTAGCAGTCAAGTGCCTTAGTCACTACACTACCAGAGCTCCTAGTTGTTCATTATCTTTATCAAAGTGTGAAAGTAACGTAGGAACCACTTTGGGCTGCATCACTGCAATTTCTTTATCTCTGTCTTTTTATTTATTTATATGCAACACCTGCTCTACTTTCCTGAAAATGTGGTTCCATCCATCCACTCACCCACCATCCATTGATTGGTTCCTACATTTGTTCATTGATTTTTTTTTTTAACTTTAAATTTTTTGCTGCCTCTGGGGGTTCTTCTATAAAGATTAATAGCCTTGGACACCCAATGGGGGTTACTGTGAGTTGAATCAACTCAATGGCAGTGGGTTTGGTTTCTTTGGACTGAGTTCTGATAGGAACTGGTTATTGTCCCTGATCTCTTGGGTTAGCATTGAGGATTTATTTCAGTTATTTAATAACTGTGATGGTAAGGTTGTGTGTCAACATGGCTGGGCTGCGATTCTAGGTGGTTTGGAGTTAGGATGTAGCCATCCCCTATGATGAGAGCTGATACAATGTTATCACCTCCTTGAGGAGCCATGCTGTGAGCAGCCAGTCAGCTGAAAGGGAGTTTCCTCAGGGTGTGTGGCTGGCTTCCAATATATGTGGATATCCTGGGAAAACTCTCTGGCTGTCTGCTGGGTCTTGATCTTGCATCTACCTCACTCATCCTCATCTCCGGTTCCCGGATTTGAACCAGTGGCCTGCTGTATTGCCTGTAATCTTGAGATTGTTGCCGTCACAGGCTGTGAGCCGACAATCTACCATTTTACCTACGGGTCTTGGGTTTGTCAGCCCCTGAGGCTGCATGAGGCAGAAGCCAGTGGCTTGACGTTTGACCCACAGACCTGGAGCTTGCCGGCCTGTACAACACGTGAGCCTTTCCCCTGAGATAAGTTTCTTTCTCTCTTCCTACATATGTAAGCTTTACTGGTTTTACTTCTCTAGAGAACCCGGCCTAAGGCAGTAACCAACAACGATGACCTTTAATTTAGTGTCTAATATACCTGCTTACATGAATCATTTCAATTAAACCTTGAAAGCAGCCTGTGGTGTCAGGACTCTCCATCATTCCCAGGTGAAGAAGGTAATTTGGAGGGTCTGAGGCTTGCCCAGGGGCACACAGGAAGTGGCAGAGCTGGGGCCATTCAGGCAGCCTGACAACCTGAGTAGCTTTTCCACCTGCCCATATCTTGCGTGCCTGTGTTGTGACTGAGGGGGAATCACTGAAGGAGCCAGTGAGGAAGTGAGGGGATATGGACGCGTCAGCTCCTTCTCTGAGGGGGTCGGGACCCAAAGGGGAAGATCCAGTGCCCAGCTGGTAACCAGAACACAGCAAACAGCCACCCACCAGCGCACTGGAAGCTGTCCATGCCCTACCCTCCTTGTCAGGGCGCCCAGTTCTTCCAGTCCCCCCCCCACACACACACCTGGAAACCACAGAGCCCAACACTGGATGGTGTCAGTGGGGGTCTGCATGTTGTCTGGTGCATTACATCACCCACTTGGAGGATGGGTCTTTGCAGCCCAGCAGCCTGAGGGGAAGGAGGGAGAGAGTGAGGGAAGATGAGAAAGAAGGGAGAAAGGAGGAGGGAGGGGAGAGGAGGGGAGGGGATGGAGGAGGGAG